TTCTATCTCTCTCTGCCCCAGTTGACTGAGACCGAAGCGTCCCCCCCCACCCACCCCTCTTCTTTACGCCCTCCTAAATAATTTAAATTGTGTCTATAGGGGCCCAAAAACATAATATCATACTTTTAAATGATATGTTTCGGTCGGGACAACTTTTCTATGACAACAGCCATAATAGAAAGTATCATATCATACACATCAGCAATAATAATGAGCAAAAAAATACATATCCGGCTCTTTCAGTTAATGAAAAGATTCTCTAGCTACTCTGTTAGAAGATGGAAATTCATTCGTGCAATATACATAGACTGACAGGCAAACAGATAGATCGACAAATGGACAAACAGACAGGTGGAAAAACAGCGGCCTAACCATCTTGTTTATACGTGCTCTATCTTAGTAAGTGAGATGGGAAACCGTTGACACTGATGGGCGCACAACCAGCGTTAACAAAGGCAACAAATGGTAGCGTTTCATTCACGGAGACAAAGAGAAATGGAGAAAAAAAATGACGGGTGGTTTAGATTGCGGGATGAACTAATCAATAAAACAAAGAGTTGGACAAAAACTGAAAGGAGGAAGAGCACACTTTGATAAAGCATCATTGCAATGCCTAGAATCCTTTGTAGAAGCAGTGTGTTCCATCGGTGATGTTAGAAAAGTGGAGGTAGGCGGAAACGCGTTTTTGCTATTTTACACAGCGATATCTATAAAAAATTACTTAACCAATCGTTAAAAAGAATTAAATGTGTCAATGAAAAACTAGCCCATTTTTCCCCTTTTAATAAAAACCTACTGTCTATTAATTTACTCACTTGTTTTTGTGTTGTTTTTCAATAAAAAATATTCATAAAACTACTTGACCAATCTTAAAATGGATTAAATCAACAGAAATCTCGCCCATTGTTCCCTTTTAATAATCAGGTATTTATTGATTCTCTCACTTGCTTTTGTTTTGTTTTTGTTGTTTTTTTCAATTGCCCTTGGTATCGATCAAAGTGATGGTCCCCTCTCGGATGGTACCTGCTGCCTTGATTATGCACGCAAAGCTCCGCGGACCTCCGTTTGTTTACGTGTCTTGTATGACAAAGCGTGTCAATAGAAATTGTGTACATAAGCTGCTTGAAATCGATCACACGACGACGGCCGAGATGGTTCCTATGGCAGAGGAGTGAATTTGGAGTTGAAGAATATGGCCAACATGTAAGGCATAAGGTCCGATCCATTTTTCTTCCATCTTCATTTACGGGATTTGTTTTATTCTCTTAGTCAAGTATTTTTGTCTCAGTCACGTCTAGAAAATTCAGTTTTCAAATCAAAAGGTATTTGCACTGACAAGAGAATAAAAAGTTTACTTTTCGCTCAACACCTTGTATGCCAATTAAGAAAATAAAAAAGTTCATGGGTGGATTTTACAGAAAAATGTAGATCAGAGGAATACAAATTGTAAATTTGCAGTTTCTATGGTCACTCAGCCTAAGGAAAGCATCAAAATTTGACAATCATTATCTTGCAAAATTTACATTTGACAACAGGGAGCCCCAACCCCCATCAATTGCAAATGTCACGACTTCTATTCAAAATAGATGGGTATTTGGCCACTAAGAGCAAGGCAAATGAACAGGCCTTAATGGTATGCCATTAACTCTATAGGCCAAAAACTGACAGGCGCCTGGTCACAATACGTGTCACGACGCAGTGGAATCAGGCGTTCATCAAGGTTTGGACACATGGAGTTAATGGCATCATCTTTAAAGCTTGTCCATTTGTCTTGCATTCAATTTAAAAAATACCCGTTTTCTACGTGACCACTATTTTGACGAGCGCCTCATTTTATTATGATGTCTCACATTTGATAATTGCTTGTATGATATGGCGAATTGAAAAAGAGCCCACTTTCAGCTAGCTTTTTCCTTTAAGAAAATCCTCTGTCTCACTAATCAAAGTATTTTCAATAGCCTACGACAACGACTATTTGATGACAAGACAGGCTAGAAGATTGAAGGTGTGTAATGAATACAAAATGCAAATATACTCCATTGTCCAAAAATAAGCTATCAGAAAACCTTCTTGTGGGAAGCTACTGGACCTGTGTCTGTGGTGTAGCAGTTAGACTCTTCGCTGTTGCTCACAGGAGACTAGAGTTTGATTCACGAGTGTGGAGAAAATTGGTATCAAGTATCGTCATATCTCTGTTGGAATGTTGTATTCCTCTCAGCTCGGGTTGGCTCTGACAGGCTGACAGGCAAAGTCGGAAGCCGGTTTTCTGAAGTATCTAATTTGTGTCAATGGGGAGGTAAAACACCTGCATTAAAACAGATTAAAGAAGCTTCTGGGATTGAAAGGTAAACAGAAATGCCCCTTACCGACACTGATTGTAACTAATTTGCCATGGTTTTTTGTACCCTACAGATGTTCTGGTCTTATACTAACCGGTGTTGTTTCGGTCCAAGGAAAAAAAACCCTCTTTTTATCCCGAGTCAACAACTTTTAGAGTATTAAAGGGAAAAGGTCGCTTAGTGTACAACAAGCAAACTTGCCGGACAGAGGGTGAGAAATATAATAATTGAGAAATGGGAAACCCCTATGTTTGTGGTGTCTTAAACATGCATTAAAAATACTTTTACGATACTGTCTTCAGCTTTCCCATGTGCGCTCTAGAAAATAACAAAAAGAAACGAACAAACAACAAATAAACAACAAATTAAATAAAAATTATTCAAACATTTCCACCTGTCTCGTCTGTTTCCTTTCCAACAACGTATAGCCTAATACTCCGAACCAAACAGTGTCACTTCTCGCTTGCCGTCAACTGAAAAGTACATGTAGATGGGTCAATGATTGTACCTTTTACCTACCATTACATGACGGCGGGATAAAGTAGAAAATGACCAAATGAATAGAATATAATAGATTAAAAACACTTTTTAAAGAACACTCTTCGTATTTTGAAAAATAAAGCTTGCAAAAACGGACATTTCTCGCGACCTCCTTTTTGACCTGTAATCCAAATCAATCTGCTTCTGTTTTTCGATTGTTTTGGGGGGGGGGGGGTTTCATCCCCAGAGACGGATTTATATCAAAGCAGACTTCCCTTGTTTTTCCCCTGTCCACTCCACACTACATTGAACAGTTTGTAATTTATAACTTTTTTCAAGAAAGAAAAATTCAACAGAGCGATGAAGACAAACAGAAAGAAGTAGGCTGAGAAAAACGTGCCTATAACCGACGAAGAAGAGAACGATAAAAACTTTATACACGTGATTCCTCTTAGCAAGACTTTCCCAGAATAAACAATAATTGTGGGTATATTATGATGATTTTTTTATTGCCGTTTCATCACTTATAATGTCGAGTCCTTGTGGTAAAGAAATATTTTTTGTCGAAATTCATATTTAAAATGTTAAAAAAAGAAACCTTACATAATTGAGCTCAAATTGATAAATCAACGAAACAACTATTCCTTCTTGTGACAAAAAATATGATATACTTAGTACATTTAGTCAGTTTGCGTACGATAAGTCTGTTTTTGTATTGGTATTGATCTGGTAGTGTATTTCTTTCTATTAGCGTAGTATGTTTGGTGAAGAGATTTTTTATTTCATATGTTATTCAAAAATGTTTTATCTATGTATATTTGTATACCACAAAATCATTATGCCAAAAACTATATTGAATTGTTCTTTCTACGTTATTCAACTATAACATGACGACTAACGTTTCTGAACACGGAAACCGCAACTTTCATATTATTTTTTCAATACGTTTAGTTATTTATTATATTATTTGACGCAAACGATAAATTTTCGTTACTAAAGTCCACGTATAAATATCAATGTAATGATGTCTGAGCCCCACCCATGAAAGTTTAATAACCTCCTCCTTGCCGACCAGAGCACATCTACAGAGTACTCGCCATCATCTAATTAATGTTTGTCCTTGTTTCAGGTTTCACTATCCATCTCTCGCTAAACCGACAGGGCCACAGACGTGGAGAGGGCATAGGTGGCGCGGTAGCGATTGTCAAAATAGCGTCAGGTTGCTTTACTCAAAGAGATGTTCTGTGTGAACTTTGAAGTCCATTGTTCTGAGAAAAAGGATGTATAGGGTTTAGTTTGTTGGGTTTGGGGGATTGTTTTTTGGTTTATTTTTTTTTCTTCTGAACTTACACCGGTACTTGATTGAAATGCCCAAGGAGAATATTTCAACTGATTTGACATATCCACTTCCAAAAATGGTCCTTACAATGATTTTATAAGTGGAATATTGTTGTTTTTTTTAAATTTCTGTCATTGTCACTGTCAATCAACAATATGACACCTATGTAATTTGATTTTTTAATGTATATAGTAACATTTCGTTGTTCCTCGATTTGTTCGCGAGGCTGAAAAATGTCGGTTTCTTTTGTTTCATCATTTTGACGATGTCTATGTTCACCACGTTGGCACACAAAGATTTGAGTTAAACACACATGTACAGTTAACTACAATTAACTCATTTACAAAGAAAGAAGGGAGCCCACAAGGAGGGGCAGGAGATCCCAATAGAGCAGTTTTGTTTTGAAAAGCGTTTTAAATTAAACTTTGTTTTTTTAAGACGACGTTTCCATCCACTAGATCTAGATATAATCGAGGCCGAAGCTGCATCAACTACATCTGTCCCACTTTGAACTCGGCACAAAGGCGAAACGTTGGGAACCGATTCTACACCTTGATCTTAGCCAAAAGGCCGAGAAGCGATGAGTTTTTGATTTCCAAAAAGCTAATACAAACTTTTTGCAGGAAACCTCAACCAACGTGGTAGGTTCATTTATCATATTATAAACCTGTTGCACTTTCTGTATTCTTTTAACTCTGCGAAACGTAGTGCTGTGGCTCTTCCAAACGGAAGTTGGAACCCGCCCTGCGAGCGAACCTCAATGCGAGGACCACGTCATTATCATGGACGCTCCTCGTGTTATTGGAAAACGCCCCGCTGTGGCCAGACTATCAATACATTGGCGCGTTCAGGACGTTTTGCAATCGACTTATCTCAGCGCATGGGGGTTCCCCCGAGACATCGAATCACTCATGTGCTTGAATCTACGATTGAAAGGATGTATCGTAATAAAACGTTATTGAGTGTTCCTGTTTTGAGAGTTTTTTTCAGTTAGTGTGTGCCATGTTATGTTATCAAATGATAGATTACCTGTTACATTCTTACATGGATTTCAAGGGAGTCTTTGTTTTTGTGAAGAACTCGTTCCAAACAAACGCCTGTGTAATTTCGCAGCACTCGCTGCGGACTCGAGGTTGTCTCTCCCGACTTCATACTGAACGTTCATGCTCTGGTCTGCAACATGAACTTGCAGTTTTTATTTAAGTTTGAGACAGCGCTTTTACGAAGGATGCCACTGAATGCTGCACTTTCTGAGGGGTAATGCTGCTCTAATTCAGCAAACCAACTGGCGGATTACATCGGTGTCTCACTTGTCCTCACAAAGTGCACAGATAAAACAGAATGGCTACAACGTTTGTATTCATGCTCGATATTGGAATATTATTGTTATTGTTTGGTAACGTTGTGCGTTCAACAGGCCTGATGCCATGTGCCGAGTTTTTTGGTCCTACTACGACACCCAAACCGTCAAACGTTCCAGGAGCAGGGGGCATTATCCTGAGGGAGTTACACTCCTGTGAGTGGAGCAACTTTGTCGCGTTCACAGACACAAATTCCAGCGGAAATGCCTATGATTTTCAGTCTTACATACGCCAAGAAGTCCTACTTCAGTGGCAGCGTCCATTTGTTGAGATTGAACTATCAGATTCTGCTATTGATGAAGAAATACCTTATTTAGTTCACGAGCTATATGAGCTGCGGGGACTGACAAACTACCTGATTACATCAAGCAGAGCAGCTGAAATTCTCAAGGCTTTTAACGTAATGTTCGCTGAGATTGGAATCAGTACTTTAATGCCGCAAAAAATCAAACTGATTGTTGTTACGAACTATACAGTGTCTGAGACCCTCTCCCGGGAACTTCTGGATTCTGTGTATGACAACATTGCTATTTTTACTTTGGAAGGGACTGATCTTGCTTCTGTTTACACAGTAATGTGGAGACAGAATCGGGTGAGAGACTTAGATTACGTTCTTCATGAAAACCTAGGGAAATCCGCATGCAATATATTTCCGAATGTTCGTCACGGCTTGAATCAAAGACGGCTTGTGGGTGCATCAAAGGAGTGGATTGGTGACGTGACGGTGAAGCGCAATGACCAAACTGGACAGTACGAGTACATTGGGTTTGCTGTGGACGTCATGGATATAATAGCAGACAGTCTCAACTTCACTTACACCCTGACGCCGAAACCAGGCTGCGGTGGTCATACAACCTGGGAAATGCTTGTCGAGCAGGTGGTCAACCGGGACGTGGACTTTGGTTTGTCACTGTGGCCGTTGAGCTCCACCTACTTTTTCAACCACACTGTCACATTCCCAGTTCTATATGATCAGATGGTTGGTGCTTATATTTACAAACACGAGCCAAACATTTCTGACTCCCCCGTGCTCGGGATATTTCAATTCATTGTCTATATCTGCATCATGTCTGCGTTGATTTTTACAATATTCTTATACTCTTTCCTGGAGAAATCCATCTGGAACCCACCTCCAAAAGAGGACAGTGAGAGTGAAGTTAACAGTGTGGACCCATCCACATCGCATCAGTCAGTGATGTCTGAACTGTACGATGATATACCATCAGAACACTTCGAAACGTTTCACAATTTTCGATTCGTCACTCGAAGTTACCCGTCGTATACCAAAGCTTTTGTTTACACCTCTTCCACCCAAAGCACAGCAACAGACTCGTTAGAAGAAGTAATAGATAAAACAACTGTATCTCACGAAAATGAAGACAGAAGACCCTTCCACTATTTTAAATTTGACATGCCTTCCGTGGAAATTGTCTTTGGCTTCATTGGCTCCATGTTTAACCAGGGCAGCCTACCTGCCGCCTCCTCAATGTCTGCGCGCTTTCTCTTGTGGTCATGGAGCTTCATGCTGGTCATGTTGTCGGCCATCTACACAGGTAGCCTCACGGCGGGTCTCATCAAACAGGTAATGTGCTGATCTCTGATCTGGAGGAATACCTTGTACGAAGGTTCCCACAATATTGACAGTAAAGTAGCCATGGTTTCACAGTATGGGTTATACGGGAAATAATTAATGTAACTGTAGCAGTTAACAGCTCGTGATATATTTCTTGTACACTGCACCAATCCTTATATGTACAAAGTGGCTTTAAGGAGTAAATGGTAGTTACAACATCCTTTTTCTAACTCTATTTTAAACTTTTTTTTGCCGTTGAAGCTAGAGAGGAGAGCAGAGTAAGCCTGATCCCCTGTAAGGACTTCTCTGTTGACATCCACACCTTGACGCTCATATGACCTAATGCAGTTGCGAGCGCCGTAAAATTTACTAAAACAAACAAAACATTTTTAAAGTCTTGCTTTCTTGGGCACCGAATATCCATAAATGTGTCAATATCCTTCTCTTTTCTAATGCACGTAGATGTTTTCAATCCCATAGACAACTTAGAAAATAATAGTTTTTGAAGCGTACTTCATCCCTGCACGTGAGTGAAAACCTGGGCAGGGGGGATTAAAACACTCAGCATTAAGACCGAGGTACTCGATACAAAATCTCCGTTCACGAAAACCAAACTCATCTCCTGTGGCGATAAAGCGCCTAACCTCTATACTTTACACTGAAGAAGCTGGTGTACTTTTGCTCACTAAAGCAAACACAGTCCTGTAAATGCTCATTAAACAATGGTGTTGTTCTTACTTCCACAGAAAACTGCAGTTCCTTTTTCAACAGTCCCCGACATGCTGGACTCTGGAGAGTACGCCTGGGGTGTAGTTGCGGGAGCTTCTATTTTAAAGACTTTACAAGAAGCTGAGATTGGGAGTACTTGGAAACGATTCTACGACAACGTCGAGGCGGTAGAGTACTCCAACAACACGCCCTTTTCAACTCGAAATCTCCTAACGATGATACAGGCTCGAAAACTGGTCGTATTTTTTGACAAACGACCGCTGCTGTATCTTAAAAACAACGAACACGTGACAGATATGGTCATCATGGAAGATACCCTCATAGACAACAACTTAGGCTTCATTATGTCTCCAGACTCCGAACTTACAGCATCTTTCTCAAAACAAATTTCGCTTCTGATGGAGACGGGAATTCTGAAGTACCTGTCCAGAAAATGGGAGCTGGATCAAGATGAAAGGAAAGAGTTGGAGGATGGCAATGAGAAGCAGCGTCTGGATGTGTGGTTCGTTATGTGGGCTGTTGTTGCCTCTGCTGTAGGAATCGGCATTGCTAGTATGGTTCTTGCCGTGGAGCTTACGATAACGAGAGTGAAAAGTTATTGTTATTATCTTCGACAGAAAGAGCGGGATTTTAGTGTAACTGATGTTGACATTTAGCCAGATTATTCATTTTTGTTGGATTTAAAATAAAAAAAAATCTCATCGCAAATGGACTTCTTGTCTGTTTGTTTAGCTGTTTAGATTATTTTCTGTTCTTTACCAGACAAAAAATTTAACGAGAAAGAAATTTAAAGAGAGGCTGTCGGAATCTCAAACTTTTAAAAAAGTGGGAATGAAGAAGGGAAGGGGTGGGGGACCACTTTATTTGCTGATACCCTCAATTTATTCACATAAATTACCTGTTCTAGAGATAACATACACAAGTGGGCAGTAGATCTGTCTCTGAGAAAATAATTATCGTTATCGCAATGCGCATGTTACAATACCTTTTTGTATGACTTACTTATAATGATGTATATTTTGCATGTGTTTAGAATAAGGGAGAAGGTGTGTGTGTGTGTGTGTGTGTGTGTGTGTGTGTGTGTGTGTGTGTGTGTGAGAGAGAGAGAGAGAGAGAGAGAGAGAGAGAGAGAGAGAGGATGTGTGTGTGTATGTGAGAGCGTGTGTGTGTGTTTGTGTGTGTGTGTGTGTGTGTGTGTGTGTGTGTGTATGTGTGTTTGTCTTTTTTGCATTGATATGGGCACCTGATAAGAGCAACTATATTTTCACCGTTGGCATTTTGCACCTGTGTACACGTCAGAAGGCGCTATGAAAATGAACTTCCTTATTACTTTCTTTGACTATTCGGTTGTTTTTTAAACATGACTTTTAAAGTTATAGAGACAAGCCATTTAGTCAATGAAAGTAAAACTTAATTGTCTGAAAAGGGGTTTAATCATGCATGTTTAATGTTTTTTCCTTACATGGGAGATCAAAATAAATCATTTTAGTTTTTAACGTGCAGAAAAAAAAATCATAGGTCGTGAGTTTTGTTTATGATTTTGTCCCAGTATATTAGATATTGAACTCTTATAAGTCATTGATGCTTATAAAAGCTATATACTAAAAATGTTCTAGAATAATTGAGACGTCTTTCGCATAATTATTAGAATTATCATTGAAAATTTGCAAAAATAGTTTAGTTGTGTACATTTCCAAACGTTGCAATTTGGTAAATTCTTAAAATTATCAAAATTTCTAGTAAAGTTCAACCTGGCCACCATTCATGCAAATCGATTTATAAGATAAATAAAGGTTGTGGTGGGAAGAGTAGTCACACTCACTGATGTCAAATGAACATTAGAAACAAAGTGCTTTTAAGGAAAGGGATCCTTTATCTTCATAATGTTCTAAAAATGAGTTTCAAGCTGCCTCTCTATTAGGATGAAAATCGTCCACAAAAAAAAGACTACAAAAGATAATTCTAAAATCGAAGAAGAATGATATGATACACTACAACGATTGCTTCCTATATTACGCATTAAAATGACGTGAACTTTGTGATTTATTACTTAGGCATTGTTTAGGGTGATGTTGCTATTGTAAGCACTTGGATCCAGCCCAATGTAACAGGGGGCTCTTTAACTATGATTCTGGAGAAAAGATTTTTCTTCTTTTTTTTTTATCTTATAAAAAACATGGGTTTGGTGATAGTTGAAGATAATAACCCTTTTTGTTTTGCTTGCGGGCAATATCATTGTTCATTTTGCTCGAAGAAATAAGACTAAATAATAACACCATCGTCATGTTTAGTCTAGGTGGTACATTACGCCTTAGATTATCACTGCATGTTTAAAGTACATTCGTAGACTATAGCACAATGCCGGCGTTTTCATTCAGTGCATTCTCTTTCTCTGACACACACAAACACACACACACACACACACACACACACACACACACACACACACACACACACACACACACACACACACACACACTCACACATCAAGAATCAATCAAGTACTGAGTGGATGTTGTTCATAAATCTTTAGTGTTGACCACAAATGCGCACGATTTTACGTACACAATAGAAACATTGCGAATTAAAACAAACTTCTATCTCTCTCGTTTATTAATGAGTCATGCTGTAAGGTTGATAGTGTGAACTTAACAAATCCCAACATTAAATAAATTAATAGTCGCTGGTGTCAACCATGTTAAAGAAAACAATGTTTGTTTTCGTGAGAAGAAAAATATACCCCGATGAGATTAGTGATCGATGTGGTCGAAGCAGAACCTATACAAAGAGAGCCTGTGCCTTTATAAGTAAAGTATTAATGATCAGGAAAGGGATTTTTTAGTTTATATATGTTTATAGGTCAATTTTAATTGTAATAGCGCACACAAATGTTCTGCTTCTAGAAGATTTTTGGGGAAATTATAAGCAGAACTGCAATCAGTTCATAAACACCCCCCCCCCCCCCCAACCACACACACTAGGTCTAAAATATACTTTCTTCGCCCTCCTGTGTTATTATTTCTCGTCGACACACTTTCGGGAGAAAAAAAATTAGTCTGATCGTATTATCTTCAAACTGAAAATCCTATCTTGTGCAAATATGTCTAAAATAAGGTAAATGTGAGGCAGACTATAAAACAACTTGTTTTGTGGCCTTTCCACTCTGTAACAGATATCCATAATATTCAATAAGGTAATGGATTTTATGTTATGCTAGCACGTCATTAAAGGGGAAGATTACTTTTAGGTTAATTTGTTACCATAAAAAGTACTTTTTTTCTGGAAGCGAACATATGAGAGCGGTTACTGTGTGACAGGCTCTCTTAAAATATAATGATTATCATCAATATTGTTATTATTTTAATTCTATCTTAACTTTTGTTTTTAAAATACCGATAACCACCCAGGCAAAACTTCAAAATGTCCTACTAACCTACCAACTGAAAATGTTATTAACGTGTCCCGCGCGCTCATATTACCTTATGCAGGTACGAACGCAGTGAAACACCTACCCCCCAAAAAAAAAGTAACTGAGTAAAATGCAGAATAATATATTGATTATTGGAACACATCATTACAAAGAAAGATTTTGCTGGGCACTCCTTCCTTCTCCGTTGACTGACTGCCTTACAATAATAATTGATTAATGATGATGCGTATTTTTTTTCCAGCATGCGATGCCGCTAAATTGAACGTTACATGTAATATGCACGACCAGCCCAACACAGCTTTTAGATATTGGAACATAAAATCGGTGGTTGAGTGCAAGAAGTGGCTTCATTATAATCTACTTTCGGTCCAAATGGACTAATCAATATGGGTAGTGAGATTTTAAGCCATTCTTTTACCTCTGTTAATGTCCACGCCTTACCTTAAATCGGTGTCAATATTTTTTTTGGACTATGTTATATTACAGAGATTTTAAATTCGCCCAAATTTCAAACTTGTTTATCTCAAAACTGTGAAAAGCAGATGAAGTCGCTTCTTGCGCTCAGACACCGAAGTGTTATTTTGCGGGGTGCTATACACCTGAAATATTTGCATGATGACGTCACGTTGAACTTCATCAAACATCGTTGTCATCAAACATCGTTGTGTATCACACTTCATCGAAAGGCTTCGTCCCTACATCGTTGTGTCATTCCGTCTCCCGCATACATTGACAGAAATCAAACACATGCACCATTGTGCAAACTTTAGAACTGCAGTGAACGCTAAAGCGTATCTGTTTATACTAACAGTAACATCCACACATTTGAGTAGGTTTCATTTTGTTTGTTTTTCATTTTGTTTAGTTTTGTTATATTTGTGTGGGGTTTTCTTTTTCTCGCATTACAGTGTGACCCATCGTGATTCAAGTCCCCAGTGAGACAAGATAAGATAAGTTAAGATAATATATTGGCATATTATTTGTTTGGTGCTTCACTTCACACACACACACGCACACACACACACGCACACACACACACACACACACACACACACACACACACACACACACACACACAAACACACACAAGTTCACGCATAATCACATAACCAGTTTCCTTTTCGGGGCCCATCTTCCAGTTACGCAAAATTAGCAACAGAAGAAAGAAGAATTATTTTTTAAAAAGCAAGCAAACAAAATCAAAAGCTCTTTTCAACAAATATCTTTACAGATATCCTTATACCCCTCAAAGAAATAAATACATTGATAAAGAAATAAACAAACATGTTTGTTTTATTTAAATTTAAAAATCCTCTCTTCATTAATTTTATCAACTTTCGTTGCGTCATATTAGTCTAATTATTTTCATTAATTTTTTTCGGTTCTTGTGTCTCACATTTTCCGTTCCTTGACAAGCGCCCTTTTAAAATCAAATTCACGGATTAAATATTATAGTTAACATTTAACACTAATTTACTCTGATATATACGCCAGCGATGTTATACAAGTCTTTTTTTCTGAACCATACATCTCCAAGAAATAAATGTCCTCAAAATGCTCGCCATTTTGCCACGTTGCCCTCACACTCGCACACTCACTGACTGCTTCCACTTCCACAACCCCGAACCAGCCACACACCAGCAGTCTCCTCACTTCACTCCTGCCTGTCCCAAAGACCTTGGTCCAGGCACGTCATTCATCGTCAGCTCAGAGACTTAGCGCCCAACTCGTAAAGTTCCGTCACAACGCCGTCTTACCTGGCAATCCGGCTCAGACTGACAGATAGCATCTCGCCATTCTCTGCCCTTTGCCAACATTTCCCCCGTGCCCATAATCCGATGACGTCATTTTGACAAAGCCTCAAACCCAGAGTCATCTGTGGCAGTTTCATTTCCTATGATTATACAGGTCGCCGTAAATAACCTGTTTAATGGTTGTAGGAGATCAGGGAGGAGCCATGCAGGACAACATCCCATCCACTCAAACATTTTGGGCAAAGTAAAGGAGTGTAGTGTTAGTTTAAGAAAAAGTTCTACGGCAGTTCCAACTCAAATAAATCATAAATGCCGAAGATTAGAGATGCTACAAGAGAGCAGCATGCAGAGAAAGAAATGAGGAAAGGATAAGAACGATAGGTGTTTGACAGGAAAGAAGGAGCAACCTCCACTAAACCACCTCCTTTTTTTCTTTTTTTTTTCTTTCTTAATAAGAGGTTTACGGAGTTCGCAATTGTATATGGTCATTCATATCTGC